TAGCAAATGTATTTGGGATTAGATTTATTCAATTGAAGATTTAACAAAATCAACAGTCTTTTTAAATTAAAATAGAATCGGCCGACAAAACTGTGTGGATGAAGGAAATTTGTTTTCCCAGATTATCTGTTTAATTTTCACGGTTAAACAGTTTAATTTAATTGGTACTTTGTCCTTTATTGAGACAGATTGTAATATTTATCAATAAACCATTATAAATGCAAAAAAAAAAAAAAAAAAAAAAAAAAAGTTGGTACTACGCACGTAATAAAAACTGTAATTGAAAAATAACTGCAGAATCGTCACTGTAATTGTCAGAAAACGAGTGTTTGTGATGAGATTGATTTAATGCCCCGTCACAACCCCATTTGCTTATCAAAGTTAAATTTGCAAAGGTTTCATTTTTGATTTTGTCACTCACAACTTGTAAAATTCTTAATGAAGTATGATTAAGTAAATTTTGTAAAATTATTTTTGCACCAGTATCTGTAACTGAAATGTATTCTTCTGAAGGATAACCATATTTTTTTAATTTTTGGATTTGGTAGTAACTTTGATAAATATTGCGTCCTAAAGGCGCTATGTCTAATAATATTATATTGGAATCTCAAAAAATCTGCAGAAACATATAGTGCTACTGCTTTTTCAATATCTTGATTTTTTGAGTTTTTCGCAATATTCTCTAATGCTACCAATATGTCCCGGGTACCCATTTATAAAATCCAAAATATAACATGCATCATCAGATTTAAATCTTTTTTTCATGGAATTTAAAAACATATCATCCGGAGCTTCTCTTAACTCTTGGGTTTTTCTTTTGCCTATCAGATAACACATCAAAAGACTGAGAACGGGATGGAACGTTAATAGAAGCTAACGATGGTGAAGACGATGAAAGAAGATCAAAATTTAATTCATGAAGAACAACAAAATCTAAATTTAACCAATTTTCGTAACTTTTTAAAAAGTGAGACTCCTATTCGATTTTATCCAACGAGAACACAAATTTCCACAAAACTTGCGAATTTTTTCGTGCACACAGAACTCCTTTTTCTTAGGAATATTTTTGAGTCCAAGATCGTGAATCTATTGTTCATATGCCCAGTCATAATCTTTGAAACTTATATGATTTGTTCTGAAAAAGTTAAAAACGTCTCGATTGCTATGCTATCCTGATACTGAATATTATTTCTGAATTGACATTTTTGTTTTTACAATTTATGAGGATTAAAGACAATAATACTTTCATAAAGTATAAACAAACATTAAAAAAAAGAAACTGGAATTTATAGGGACAACAATGGAAAAAAAGCAAGAGCTAAAAGGAAAAAAAATTTTTAAAAAATGTTATTCTCGTAAACCGGCACGAACTCGCATGTAATTATTAATGGAAAGTAAACTATAAACCTTCTAGTTAATTTCTGTGGAGGTAGATTTTTGAGCGATTTTCGTTATGAATATTTTAAATTTTATTATGTTTTCCATTAAAAAAAACTTTAAGAGTCTATAAAAGTTCAAGCTGCATCAACTTAAATTATGTTAATAAAGTTAAATTATCGTAATAAAGATGATTCATTAATTTTGGTTCATCAAAATACTTGTGGTACTTTTTTTTAAAAAAGGACATTTTCCATGGACGGTCGTTTTAATAAGATATCTTAGGTGGAAATTTATAGTTAAAAAAAAAACTGACGATGGTCTATGACAATAGAAACTAAGAGGAACAGCTTAACCAAAAAAATATGGGAAATTTCGGATATTGGTCCTATGTCCACTAAATGCATAGGTTCGCCCCACTGTGCGGCTGTAGGACGGATAAAGCCACTTCAACTCGGTGTAAAACTGGGTAAGTGTATCTTACCCATACCACATAAGTGTATAAGTGTATCTATTGAGATCCCGAAGATAAAGCGGATTGAGCAATTCATTGGACGTTTAAGTTTAGCTTCGAGTTCTCCCGAGAGTCCGCCATACACCATGCAGCCATAGTCGAAGTCGGGGAAAACAAGAGAGGAGACCAGGAGTTGACGGGTTTTGAACGGAAGAAGATAACATAGATGGTTAAACAGTTTCAGGATGGATATAGAACGGCGGGAAATTTGGGAGATGTGTGGTTTCCAGGATAGGGTTTGATCTACGGTAATGCCAAGGTTTTTAACTGTGGTATGGAAGGAGATAGGTGAGTTGTTCAGAGGAAGATTAGGAGGTGCTGAAATGGATTTGAGGAGTAAGGGGGATCTGATCAGGAAGGCTTTTGTCTTCGCCGTATTTAATGTCAGTTTATTAAGATTCGCCCATGCGCATATTCTATTGATGTCTTGTTGTAGTTTCAGGATGGCATTAGAGGAATCCGTCGGGATGAAGGAAAGATAAATTTGGACGTCATCAGCATATAGATGATATTGACAGTGAATGATAGAGGAAGGGAGGTCATTGATGTAGAAGGAAAAGAGGGTGGGGGATAATGAGGAACCTTGTGGGACGCCTCTGGACAGAGGTTAGAGACATTGATTGAGGGTTATTAGGAACCATAACGTACTGGGAGCGATCGGTGAGAAAGGATTGGAACCACTTAAGGGTACTAGATGATAAGGAAATATTTTTCAGTTTGGTTAGAAGGATATTATGGTCAACTGAGTCGAATGCTTTAGAGAAATCAAGAAGGATCATGATGCTGAGTTTCTGTTGGTCTATGGCTGTGTGGAGATCTTGGGAGATTTTAATGAGGGCGGAATGGGTAGATTAGTCAGGTCTAAAACCAGACTGGAAGCAGTTCAAATGGTTATTTTGTTCGAAATATTGTGATAGTTGGGATTGTACTATTGTAGTGGGATTTGGCACGGCTTATCACGTATTGCGTACTGTTTCGAAGCAGCTTGAAATTCGTGCAGTCTTCGGGGAGTCGAGTGCGCTTATACCTTCGTCTTGCTGCATCTCTTCGTTTGATACAGTTTTTTATCGCAGGCGTCAACCAAGGGGCTGGGGGGTACTTGATTGTCCTGACTTTAAGAGGAGCATGACGGTCTAGGATAATGTGCAGTTGATTGGTTAAGGTTTCTAACATAAAATCAACAGAGTTAGAAGAGTATATGGAGTCCCATTGGATTGCGTCAAGATCGGCCGTCAAAGTTTCGGATGATAGGAGATTAAGGTTTCTGAAAGATATAGATCAGGGACAGTATAGAGGAATAGGAAGGTTATAGGAGACCTGTATGAGATCATGATCAGACAAAAAAGAAACCGGGTGCTGTGATGAGGCGAGGAGTTTATCAGGAGAATCAATGATGCAATGATCGAGCCAAGAGTCTGAGTATTGGGTATGATGGGTAGGGTTGAACGGGACTATATACAGATTAAGAGAGTAGAGGAGGTTTGATAAATAGGCTTGGTCAGAGGAAGGAAATAATAGGTTGGTATTGAAATCTCCGAAAAGAACAATATTAGAGTAGGAACGGCTCAGTTCGTAGAGGATGGTCCCGAGTGTTTCATCAAATGAGACTCTAGGAGGTCTATAGATGACACTGATGAGCAATAAATATGAGGAGGTGGATATTTCAGCAAAAAGATATTCGATATGTGGGGAGACGGAGAGAGGAGACAAACCAAGGATTTTGGACTTCAGGCTATCACGGACTAAAATGGCTACTCCGCCTCCGATTCTATTTTCTCTATTTTTTCGAGTAAAGTATAGTTAGGGAGTGAAACTTGACAGGATGTGATAGTGGGTTTTAGCCAAGTTTCAGAGACAGAGATTAGGTGGTAGAAGTTGTGGAGGAAGAAATCATGGAATTCATCTATGTGGGCTAAAAGTGACTGTGCGTTGACATGACAGATAATAAGACATTAATCATAAGAGATGGTAGATTGGAACAGCAAATCGGTACGAGGGGAGAAAGATATGGAAATAATTAGGTTAGATTGATCCGAGATGCACCGTAGATGCTGAAATATTAATAGCAAACTATTGAAAAGTAGAAACTAGAAAAAATAGGCAGAGGAAATAATCCAAATAGTATCCTGTAATCAATGGAGATAAGAAACAAAACAAAAACAGTAGATCCGTACAAACAGAAAACGAAAATATACTCTGGCGAAAAATGAACTATAATACTATTAAAAATAATAATAAAATTGGCTGCAATATACACATAAACAAAATTGAAGGAAATATTAATGTTATGATAGTTAAGTTAATAGAAGAAAGTAGCTAGAAAATGAGGTTGTGGGTTGGAGGAACGAGAGCAGAGAAGTCAAGCGAAGACGTCAAGGTCAGAAGGTGAATTTATGACAATTAAGTGTTAACCGTCGGTTCGCCTACACTTCACTTTGTCATCACCAAAACAAACGTATTTTATTTTTCCATCCGCCCTCTTTTGTCTGGAAGGCCAGTACAGGTGCCTGTTGGTCGAGGTCATAGCTACTCCGATGAATATTTTGTGAACATCGTTCTCCCGCCAACCCATGTTACGAGTATATCTCTTACCACTTTAAGTTTACGAATAAGCTCATCTCTTATCATTTGTCGTACAAATCTGACCAATAGTGGACCGGGAGTGTTATCTTGCCGAGTGCTGATCCTCTCTATGCTGTCCACATCTTTAGACTTAGCCCCAGTGAATCCACACTCACTACCAGGCCCCTTGGAGTTTCACCAGGTCTCACCGGAATTCCTCTAATCTCCAAGTGCTGTTGCTCGGATTTATTTAGCTTTATTTCGAGCTCCGACACTCGTGTTTTTAGAGTCGAATTCTCCAAAACCAAGCCATCTGTTTTCGAGTTTTGAGCTTCCAGAATATGAGTATATGAGAACAAAACAAGATATATATTTTTTTTTCAAACGATTAGATTCATATACAATCCTTGGAGCTTTTCGAAAACAATAGTTTTAATTTTATTTTTAAATTAAATCATCGTATGGACGATATCGATAGTCGATATCATCGATGGTAAGATATTGAATATCTAAAGAAAAGATCGCTTTTTCGAAATTACTAGGATGGCCAGCCCTATTCATGTGTGGGAGGTTATTTAATGTTTGATAACACGGTATCAATGTCTAGGATTTTGTGGCCGGTTATGCGGTATTCGATAAACTGGTCATTTTTATAGTACTCCAGTATAATTCGAATTATTCAGTATTAGTTATTAATTAACAAAGCAACTAAAAATGGATCTCCTAGTTGAAGGACTCCGCAAATGTACTACTACTATGCCAGATAATGCAGGTATGTTTATATAATGAGGAGTCATAACTTCTCACAATTACGCTATTGTAGTATGAAATGAAATAGACATTTTTATATGTTCACAACCATCCTTTTTATTAAGTATTGTGAAATTAGTATTTGAATGATTTTTCATATGTATATCTCTTTTGTGCATATGATTGTATGTTTTAAAAACAAAAAATTGATTTATGAATAAAATTGAAAACATAACTGCTCCTTTGTTGACTAAGCAACTGACTAGAAGTCAATTTCTGAAGTGGGGAATTTGATTTAGCAGTTGACAATTTTGTTGACATGAATCTTATATTGTCTGTGTCGATTACTGTCGCACTCCTTTCAAGTTTTCAAAAGGTCATCTTTTTAATTTAATATAGTGAATGTAATTTAAAACAGAACTAATCTCTTACAGTGGGAGACACGTGCTTACATTTTGTAGCTGTATATGTGTTATAATTTTAAAAATTACATATGTACAGTTTTTAGGTATAAAGCTCAGATTACTCACATAAGGGGGAAGGGAGACTGAGCGGCTAAAGCATGTGCACAGCACCATGCGTGGACTGGTAATTCGAATCTCGGTGCCTGGTGGAACATTTAACTTGGCATAATTTCCCCGCCCTCTTTCGTGGCCCAGGAAAAAAACCCTTGTAGCCTAAAAGGCAAGGAAGGGGAGATCATTTCATATAGATAGTTAGTTTCTTTCTTTTTCTTCCCAAGTAATTATCATCATACTGGGTGTCCCGTAAGCAGAGGGAAATTTTTATAGGAGTGATAGCAGACTCAAAAGCTACAAAATAGTTTATATAAACAATGGGCCAATTTTTATCAGTAAAAAATCTAAGGTTTGTATTTTTTTTAAGTGTCATGTTTTTTGTTGAATAAGAAGTGATAACTAAAGAAATATTTAATTCAATCAATAACTGCACTGCAAACTAGACAAAATTTACACCAAACAAAAATAGAGTTTATCATTGTTAAAAGCATTTAAAGAGGAATTTTGAGCGGCTAAACTAAGCTAAGTTCTTTTTTTGAAAAAATCATGAATTATTCGGGATTTTTTTAAAATCATTCTCCAACTATATTTCAGATACTCCACTTTTCGAAAAATTTCCTCATTTAATTAGCTCTAAGACCATATTAATTAAGTTGAGGTTTATTATGCAAAAATTTGAAATTCATCTTGAGTTGTGTAAAAAATTATGTGATTTTTTATTCTGTCACCTAAAAGTACCCGTGTTTTCAGCTGAAATGACTATTCATTAATTAATGATTGCAAAGCTTTTATTTCAGTCTTCATGAGGACCTCTTTTAGCTCAAGTGAGTCTATAGTCTAGCTTCTGCTGTCAATCAGTGAGCATCTCCTCTGTGTTTATTTGATATTTTAATCTATCGTGTACTCAGGCTCAGGAATTACATTTTGTGAGTGATAAATTTTTCTCATTATTAGAAATACTCAGGGCCATGTTTACAGCTTTTATTGATGGTTTACTGTTGTAGCTAAACAAGAGGCTAGGCATTAGACCGAATGCTGGTAAGGGACTAACATTTTCTGCATTCCCCCACCGCTACTATCGACCCCCTCCCCCCTGCACCCCTCACCACTCTCCTCTTTACTTCTGCATCGCCTTTAGTTCTATTCCACATCTCACTATAGCATCATGTTTATCTTGTAAATTAGCAGTTGTGTAAAAAATTATGTGATTTTTTATTCTGTCACCTAAAAGTACCCGTGTTTTCAGCTGAAATGACTATTCATTAATTAATGATTGCAAAGCTTTTATTTCAGTCTTCATGAGGACCTCTTTTAGCTCAAGCGAGTCTATAGTCTAGCTTCTGCTGTCAATCAGTGAGCATCTCCTCTGTGTTTATTTGATATTTTAATCTATCGTGTTCTCAGGAATTACATTTTGTGAGTGATAAATTTTTCTCATTATTAGAAATACTCAGGGCCATGTTTACAGCTTTTATAGATGGTTTTCTGTTGTAGCTAAACAAGAGGCTAGGCATTAGACCGAATGCTGGTAAGGGACTAACACTTTCTGCATTCCCCCACCGCTACTATCGACCCCCCCCCCCCTGCACCCCTCACCACTCTCCTCTTTACTTCTGCATCGCCTTTAGTTCTATTCCACATCTCACTATAGCATCATGTTTATCTTGTAAATTAGCAGTTACTAGGAATGACAAAACTGCCCTAGCATACTTTAATTGTAAATATATATTTCATAATAAATGTGCTAATCTTTCTGACGTTGAGACGTTAGAAAAACAAAAAAACAATGGTGCTGTCGCACTTGTGAGACTCAAGTGAAAACAGCAAAGCAGTATATGAGTAATAGTAGTGCCAGCACAGAAGAGAACTTTACATTACTTAGCTAGGCAAAATTACCGAAACATAATAGATTTTAAGAGCACCATTGACAAACAAACAAGTTTGTCATTCATAAACTCAGAAATATCCAAATATCAATGGAAGAACGTTTCAAAAGAAAGGAAGAGTACATCGAAAAATTGTTAGGGGAAAATAACAGCCTCAAAACAGAAGTAAAACATACAAAGATTAGGCTAAACTGTGCAGATCAAGCACAGCTCTCACATTCGTTTGGGCTGAGAGGGATCCCCACGAAGACCGGAAAAATGGGCTTATCAGGCTTAATTCCGAGAACCTGGACTTGGTGGAGAGAAAGCGTCTTAGAGGAGAGGACACCCAGCCACCATCAATCGGCATGCATTTTGTCTGCCAGGCTGTGAAGGATAAAAAGGGACTTCACCACCAGGCTCCTCTGCTGGGAAAGGGATGAAAGGATTTACCCTCCAAAGTTTCCGATTTCAGACTCATCTCCAGTCTCTCCAACCTTTCAAAACCTCTTGAAAGAATAGTGCACAGCTTAATATCTTCCTAGAACAAAAAGCTCTCCTCAATCCCCTGCAGTCTGATTTCCAATCCCAGTTCTCCACCATAAAATATGTCACATAAAATGAAGAAAAGGCACTAGTAGACATGAAATTATAGATAAATACAGATATAAAGGACACATATCTTTATTTATCTATTATTTCATGTCTACTAGTACCTTTTCTTTATTTCTGTATTTTAATTTTAGATTTAGATAAATTTGTAATTTAATTTATTTTTAATTGTTTCTAATACAAAACAATTGCCATTTCATCGCTCATTGTAGTTATTCTTAGGGGACTTACTGTCCCAAACTAAAATTTATTTTCTTCTTCTAAATAAACGTTTTATTTATAAAATAGAAAAATTTGAACATAGTGATTTTTTATGTTAAGTTGTAATGAAGCTGAGTTTATCTGCAAATCTCTATTTGAGGAATTTATTTGTATTTATAATTGACAAAATTAATGTTTCTGATCCTGATATTTATGTTTTCATGAAAATAACTGAAGTAATCAGCAGGTTTTTTATTTTAACTTTAAATTATAGGACTAAAAACATTAAGTTTGTCCCTTATAAATACGGTTCAATTCCTATGACATAAATCTGGGACAAAAACAGTTTCATAGCCACTTTAATACATTGAAATCCTATCAAACTTTATGTTATGCTTCTGAATTGAAATATTATGCCACAAAAAAATAAAATACAACATTGAAAATTAAAATCCAAATTACAATCAACTAACGACAACAATACATAATCTAATATAACAATAAATTACGATTAACCTAAATCTTAAAATAAGATGAATTTAAAAAAATAAGGACTAACATAAATAATAGATAATTTACAAAACAAATATAAAAAGGTCTCAATAATTGAACCCCTATTACCCTACTGTTCTCGTTAATTTAACCTAAGAGCTATTATACTTAATTTATTACTAGTATTTTGTTACCTTCTCGTTTCCTATTACCCTAAGCATCAGCATATTGCCCTCCCAAGCAATCCACCGCTAATATCCAATTTAGTTCCTTCCTTAATTCCTTAGGACACCATTTCATCCTGGGTGCAGACTTAAATGCCAAGCATCAGCAATGGGGTTCAAGAACTACGAATTCTCAAGGTCGAACACTGCTGTCTGCACTCAACTCCCAACATTTTAAACTCGCTCCCCCGAACTCACCTACCTACTGGCCCACTGATCCTAACCGTAATCCCGATATCCTTGATTTCTTCATCCATAGTGGTTTAGGTTCCCTAAACTATTTCATTGCACGCCTTGATGAACTTTCCTCAGACCACAGTCCATTAATATTCCAAGTATCACTAGCTCCTATTCCTAAACCCTCTCCACCGTCCTTCATCAGAGGCCCAGTCAACTGGAAACTCTTCCATCAAATCCTTTCCGATCAAATTCACCTCAGAATAACCCTGAAAACCCCAGAAGCCCTTGACAATGCTGTACATTCCTTAACCATCATCATTCAACAAGCAGTCTGGACTGCTTCCTCTCCTAATCATTCCCCTAGAACTCCAAAGAAAAATAAATTACCTCATCACATCCTCGACCTAATCCATACCAAACGCCGTGCCAGATTGTTATGACAATGTACCAGACATCTCACTGACCGCAGCTCCTATAACTGTCTCTGTAAACAACTAAAGCAAGAATTATCCAACTTCAAATCCCAATCCTTTAACTCCTTCCTTACCTCCCTCTCTGCTCACGACAACTCCCTCTGGAATATCACCAAAAAAATCCTAAAAACCCATAATATTTCCCATCCCCTCCGTCGAGGTGATGGCTCCTGGGCGGCGTCTGAAAAAGAGAAAGCTGAGGAATTCACCAAACACCTTTCCAGTACATTTACTCCTCATCCCAAATCCAATCCGACCCACACTACAATAGTAGAATAATTCCTTTCTTCACCAATTCCACTCTCTTTACCACCAAAAGCAGTTCATCCATCTGAGGTCAAATATCATTTACAAAAACTATCTTCCCGCAAATCTCCTGGATACGACCTTCTAACCCCACAGATCCTTCATCAACTACCACCCAAAGCAATCATATTCCTCACATACATATACAACT